TTTTTTTTTGGTAAACTAAATGAGCAGCACATCTTGACAGAGGAAGGAGCTGATGCGGCCAGCGTGGGATTTGCATTTCTCATCTATTTCTACAGACATACAGGGCAGTGCTCCTTAGGATCCTCCAGGGCTCATGCAGGTCTCTGGGCTTGATGCTCCAGGCATGGGGCTGGGTGGCTCAATTGCTTCTTAGGACAAGGCTCTTCTTCCTGCTGTTTTCTCCTATCTCTGGCCCTCGTGCTTTTGTCTTCTCCACCAGACATCTCATCTTGCAGGAGGACCCGAGTTTGCTTTCCAGTACCCATGTGAAACCCAGGCATAGCAAGGAATGCTTGCAATCTCAGCACTGGAAGGTGGAGACAGGAGGATTCTTCAGAGTGGCTGGCCAGGCAACCTAGTTGAATTGGTTAGGGTTAGCTCTAGGGTCAGTGAGAACTAGCTCAAAAAATAAGGTGGAGGAGCAATGGAGAGATGCCTAATAATGCCCTCTGTATGCACAGGCATACACGGTCCTGTACACACACACACACACACACACACACACACACACACACGAAGATGGAGGCGGCGGGGATGGGGGAAGGAGGTCTGTATGAATGGAGGGCTCTTGAGATTGCTTCTGAGCCGCTCTTGTATTTGTAGACTATTTCTGGTTCTAGGCCCCACATGCCTGTAGGCCTGACGCCAGCCAGCGCCTCTCATCTCCATTCTGCCTTAAGTCACTGACTTTTCTAACTTGATTCTCTCCTGCTGCTCCTTTGTGTGGCGCTGAGGGCACAGGTCACCATGGCTCCTGAAGCTTGGCTGCATCCAGGAAGGCACCAGGATGTGACCTGAGACCTCAGGCTCCTCAGGCTCCTCAGGCTAGGCTGCCCTCGACCAACCGTTGAGGAGGAAGCTGGGGGAGGGGGGCGGGGAGCTGCGGCCCCAGTGGACCCCATTCAGTCCTGGGAAGGGAATGAGAACCTGGAGGAATGTGGAAGGGTAGGGAACAAGGGACAGGGGCAGGACAGAATGAAGCAGGGGGATGCATTCCTGGGGAGTGACTGGAGTGATGTCCAGGGTGGAGACCAAAGATGAAGTGATTTGACATTCACAGCAAGACCAAGGTCAGCTCAGAAACCTTCGGAGGTCGTGGAGCATACTCCCCTCCAAGTCCTTTTCAGCCACGAATGGTCTTTTGTGGCACTTTCTGCAGTCAACAACTGAATTTACCAAGTGCACATTCTAGCCTGAGGTTGCTCCAGAAAGTGGAGGGCTAGAGGGAGGGGAGAGAGAGGCTTCTCTGCATTAATTACTTCAGGGCTACCATATCTCCCCTCAAAGTATCAATAATTTTAACAAATGTGAGCAGGGAAAAAAATTAAAGCTGCCGGGTCCAACTTTAATAGCCCTGCCAAGCAGTCCTACAATGGGCAAGATAGGCCTGCCCTGCTTCCCACCTCTCCCAGGGACCCACTTAGCTGCTGCAGCTGCTCTAGGAGCTAGGGGACACCACTGGACCCACGCCACTGGCAGACCAAGGCACAAAGGCCAACTATTCTACTCAACGTCACACTGTTTGGCTGGAGGAGTTGAACCTTGACACTGATTTGAAGCTGCACCACATCATCGGGCTGTTTCTTTGAAGTGGGAAAGGTTCTAAGGAAACAGGCAGAGTAGAACTTGACTAAACTATTCCCACTTGTCTAGAAATTTAAGCAATTTTTTTTGGGGGGGGGTATGGGGTCTTGTTATGAGGTCCTGACTGTCCTTGAACTTATGATCCTGCCCAGCTAAAACAAATTTTATTTTTTTGGTTCTTTTTGGAGACAGGGTTTCTTAGCATAGCCATGGCTATCCTAGAACTCACTCTGTAGACCAGGCTGGCCTTTTGAACTCATAGAGATCCACCTGCCTCTGCCTCTTGAGTGCTTGAACTAAAGGAGTGCGCCACACTGCCCATCTGGCGATGAACACAGTTCTCAGGAGTCAGTGCTTCCTTTCTGCCATGGAGGTCCCAGGGTTCAGACTCATCTCGTCAGCCTTGATGGCAAGCACCTGCTGGCGCCCTCACCAGCTCCAGTGAATTCCTAAGTGTGAGTTGCCATGCACTGCTTCACATTCTGCTTACCAAGGAGATGGTGACACCACCCATTGGGACTTATCTTGACATCTCCCAAAAGTCATTTAAAAGTCAGCTATTGCTACCACTGTCTCTGGAACAGGAAAGATGGGAAAATGGTCACTGTGAGATTTTTTTTGGGGGGGGGGCTCTTTTGATATAATCTGATATAATAGAGCATTTTGGTTATTGGAGGTCACTTCCAAAAATATCAGGAATAGATCAAAATAGAGATGAAAAAAAATGTGAGCCAAGCTTCAGATTCCCATGGAAACTCCCCATACACCCTTGTCCCTGGTGAAGATCAAGTTGAGCCCTGTGTCACCATAAGTACTTCTGACATGGGTCGCAATCACAGGGCTGTCACAGAGAGTGCAGCTAATCATGATGGCTTGGGTTGGCAAATAGGCTCCTTGTCTGTTTTTTAAAGAGATCATCCAAGAGAGCATAGCAGCAGTCGGCAGGGGAAGAGCTGGAGATGCAAAGGTGATGGGGGCTAGAAACGCAGGCAGGGCGAGGAGTGGTGCCCCTGGCAGGCCATGCGCTCTGTGAGAGCAGAATCTACCTGCAGGCTGTGAGGAAATTCTCCCTGACATGGTTGGAAGCAGCTCGGGGAAGGTCCAGCAATGGTACCACAGCCAGACTGCACGCAACTTCGTTAGAGTAGACAAATAGGAAAAGGGATGAGGGCAGAGGATGCATAAACTGAGCGAGGTTAGGGAGCAGAGTGGGCTTCCTGGAAGGTCGGGGTGCTAAGTGCTTCGGACTCTGGCTCCACAGAGAGCCCAGGCTGTGCCCAGTGCAGCTCTCCTCTGCCCATAGCCTGTGCCTTCTGGAGCTGGGCAAACCTCTTACAAGTTGCTTTGTTTAGAGACTGTCCCCCTTCCCTCGAGGTACTGCTCCCTCCTCCTCCCTGCATCTGTCCTCTGGTTAGAGTTGTGTGAAGCGGAAGACAATTTGGGGCTTATTAGTGTCCCAGGGAGACATGTAACTTGTGCTGCTGGGACCCAAACAGCAAGAGTCTTAACAGCAAACTCCAGCCGAGGACGGACTGAGGATTGTCTTACCTAATTACAAGGAATGGCTCTCTTTGTGTTTGTGATTCTGTACGGTTGTCTGATCGCTTCTGATCGCTTTCCTCCATTTGTTGGCTCAGGTCATGCTGGAATTGTGCTAATTAGAAGAGAAATGGCCACAGCGATCCTGTCAGCCCCGGTTACTGGTGGGGACAAAGCTGAATATTATTCTGAGGCAATGTTTTGTAAGAGCCCTTCTCCTGCTCTCATTAGGAGGAAGAGGACCCCAGGAGGGGAGTTCCGAGAGCTTGGCCTGGCTAATGGAGCATGGGGTGTTCCTGTGCAAATGAACAGGCTCTGCCAGGACTCCCCAACCAAGGGCCTCACACTTGCACCTGGTGTCACCTGAAGCCTCCAACTGTCCTCGGTCTAAATGAAAAAGTGCCAGACAAAGGTGGGAAGGTTGATGACCTTTTTAGATGCTGGGACACACTTCCTAAGTGGCAACAATTCTAAATAGATACAAAGAGCCAGTTACAGGCTAATCGGAACTTAGGAACTGAACTTGGAATTGGCTGCTGGAATAGGGTGGACTTGGATCTCTTAAAGGAAGAAGACATAAGATGGAGACCATGACTTCAGATTTGGAGATAAAGATAGGCCAAGTTCAAGCTGCTAAGAAACCACTTATTTAGGGCGGTGGTAGCGCACGCCTTTAATCCCAGCACTCGGGAGGCAGAGGCAGGTGGATCTCTGTGAGTTCGAGGCCAGCCTGGTCTACAAGAGCTAGTTCCAGGACAGGAACCAAAGCTACAGAGAAACCCTGTCTCAAAAAACCAAACAAAAAAAAAAAAAAAAAAAAAAAAAAGAAAAGAAACCACTTATTTGACCTCCTGGGTGCCAGTTACTTTAGCCTACCAGCCCCCTTTCCAACCTGCAGTCCATCTTCCTGCGATGCCTTAACGCTGGGGGGATAGGGACCTCATTGAGAAGCATTCATGGGCAGCCCACATGCTGTTCTGAGGCTGCAGAGTCAGAGGAGTAATTCCACCAGCTGCATCTTCGCTGTCCTGATACAGTAACAAGACCAACACCAAGGAGCAGTTAGCAAAGGCCAGGCCAGATGTGGTGGTGAAGACAAACCACTGGCAACAGGTGACAGAGGGGCTCCTCTTCTCTAGGTCTCACACAAAGGAACTCATAGTAAAGCAGATGCAGATGTCTTCCATGAAGGCACGAAGAACTAGGTAGGTAGGAGGGAGACAAATCCCAGGAGCTTGTGGTAGTAAAGGGCATTAAGATCTGGACTCAGATCACCTAAGTAATCTGAGGTATGACCAGGTGTGATCCCGCAATCAGGTGTGATCCCACGATCAGGTGTGATCCTGTGATCAGGGTCACTGGAATGGCACATTTACATATTGAAGAAATAATGGGGAAGGTCAGCTCCAGTGGCTTGCCAAGGGCTTACCGGAAGAAGAGGTAAGATATGTGCGAAGTGAAAGGGAGGCTTTCTGAGACTCCAGTGGTGCAGGCAAGCAAGGCACTAGGAACTGTTGAGGGTAAGAAGAGTTCTTACTGGAAGAGAGACTTTCTGCAGGAGAAGAAGGAACCCAAGCTGAGGGATCAAGTAGGATGTTCTTTCAAACTGTCTGGAGGACAGAGATGGCTCTTTGACAATACACGAAGGTGGTAGCAAAGGCTTCTAAAGGTTCCTACTGGGACAGGAACTCTAGCAGTGAGGGTAGGGTGGCGGGGGGGGGGGGGTGGTGGTGGGAGGGAGAGGGGGGTCAGTGGACTTGTCACTCAAGTTGTAGTCTGATGAGCCCAGGTTTTAAACACGCAGCTTGACCCTTTAAAGGAAAAATTCGACCTCCTATACAAGGGACATATTTATTATAAAGACACATACGTAAAGAATAACCCTCTAACATTCTAAAATACATATACATACTTACATAAATTTATATTATCAATATAAAAATACATCATTAACATTTCTAAGGATGACAAATACAAAAACAATAAATATCACAATTCTAAAACATCTACTTATATTAATTTAAGTGCTGGTGAATAGGATGACAGAAAAAGGAGGAGGCCATAGCAGATCAAAACACCAACTACTGGCTTCCCATTACAGACGAGTTGGTTTGGGGAGCTAACCCAGTATTCTCCACATACTTTTCAATATCCCCAAACTCTGAAAAGTGCCTGATGCCATCAACTCTCAATAACAGAGTGAAGAAAAAACTCTGACACATGGCATTATTTTTTGACCATTCGTATACACTCACTTTAACCGCATTTAGTGAGATAAAAAATGTCAATCACAGACTTAAGCTTAAAATCAACTGGCCCTTCAAGGGAGTACTCCAGCAGAATGTTTCTCTTCTCATACTTATCTTTCATGGGACATATTTCATTCCTCTTCCTTTCAAAAAGTAAAACTGTGTCGATCACATAGCACTAATGAAGGGAAAATTCAACATCAACTCTAGCATTAGGCACAAGTGTCACGAATGGTCAAGGTTCACCCTTGGTGAACCTCAGGAGAACTGTGCCCTAACAATACATGGCCACAGCTTCTCCTGTGTCCAAACTCCCACTGGACGATGGTCACAGAGCTTTTCTTCCATAATATTGAGGGAATTCTCTGCGTTTTTCAAAAACATGAGGCTAGGTCTAATCCATTTTACCCATGGGCAAGTTTTTCAGATGTTAGCAGATACATACAACTAGCAAAAAAATCTGCGAGAGCTGCATTTAAGCCAGAACATTTTCACATGGGTGTGTCTATCATATAAGCGAGTATCTGACACGTGGCTGAGAGGAGAAGGGACAAAGCGCTGTCACCAAGCCACAGCACTAAGTCATCAGGCTTTGTTTTCAGCCAAACGGGAGCTCGCACAACCGTGTCCTCCCACCACCGGTTCACACTCCTCTTTCACTTACAAACGTAACAGACTGAGCAGAGCTCCTTTTGATGCCTTCATACTAGTCTGGAAGTCTAGAACTCAGGGTGACACAGCATGAGCCTTTCACTCGAGAGAGTCACTACAAGGGCTCCACTAGTCTAGAGTCAGAACTGCAAGGTGGCCTGGGAGGTGAGGGATGGACAGTGCTTAAGGGTGAGAGTGTCATTGGAGGTATAGCCTTAAAAAAGCAGATGTACATCTCAAGAAGACTCTGTTTCCTTCAGAATGGAAGTTAGAGAATCCATTAGATCTGACAGTTCACAGGTCAAGATGCGTGCGTAGTCTGGTCCAGCAAGTAGTTGATCTCTGATGTCTTCATCATGAACGCTCTTTAAAAAGACCAAGTACAACTCAACAGAACCCATTAATCGACTTGTCACTACTGACTTTGCCATTACAGAATAAAGTAATTAAAAGATCCCGAGCCTCCTGATCACCTTTGGAAAGGACCTCTCAGATGACAGGACTGCCGCGTTACCGCTCGTAGCCAGAGCTATGAAGCCAGCTCAGTGAATGGCAATGATCCTTGGGTAGAACAGATTCTTTCTTGCTTCCAGATGTCTCAGAGGTGCAGAGTGCCAGGAGTAGGGGAGAAGCCAGTCTTTCCCATGGAAGCATGTGGTGTGCATTGTCAGAGCCACACTGGGAAGGGGACTTGGTTATGGTCTTCAGGACACTGTGCACAAGCAGTTGCTACTTCTTGGGTTTCTCTAGGATGTTAAGGAATTTTCCTCTTGTCATTTCTCTGGCTGCAATCACAAAGTCAACAAAATATCAGTGAAAATCTAAAATGGAAAAAAGGGATTACAGGAAGATTTAAGATAAAAATGCAGACTAGAACAAGAGACCCAACTTCCCCAAAGGTATTGTCTGACTTCCACACCCTTGTCCTGCGCATCTGCACTTATAAATATATGTTAATATAAAAAAGTATACTGGTAATTAAATCAATTGATAGCTAAATCAATTGTATACAACAAATGCAACCATCTCTAGTGTTCTAAAAGACGAAAACAAACTAATACTGACAATTAAAACTGGACAGCAAATCTGAAGTTGGCAATTGTCTAAAGTGCAGGTGACCTGGGGTGGGGGGCAGGGAGAGTATCAGCTATTCTTATAAAAAAAATCACCAAGGAATTCCCAGTAAGTCTCTCTGTTTCTGTCTCTCAACTCTAAACACTCAGGTTCACTATCTTATAGAGTTTGTTCTGGGAGGCTAAAATCCAGTCAAGATTAGAATCTTATCTGGACTGTTGGTCTCTGTACATTTATAAACTCAAATCAAAACCAGTGATCACGCACCCCACCTCTGAGCAGTGGGAGGCCCCGTGTACTGGAATGCAGCAGGGTTTATATTCCCTCAATGCAGTTCATCTGGGATGGTGTAATAAAGCAGGGTTTATAGAGCTTTGGTCTTCTCTCTTGGCATTGTCAGTCCGCAGGTATTTAATATAGCCAGGCAAGGTTTATGTGTCTTTCTCTGACTTTCAGCACCATCAATCTCTGAAACCTAGTTACTGCTAGGTTTATTCAGCTACTTGCCTGCAAGGCTCCAAAGTAAAAGTAAAACACTTCTCAATTAAAAAGGGGCACCACTCTAGAAGCCCCCCATTATAGTTCTGTCAAGCAAATTTTCTAAGCATGAGCAATGTAACTCCCCCACCCCACCGCAGCCCCATCTTCATTCCACAATGGCATCTTTTTAGATCTCTTCAATGGATTTAACAGTTCTGAAAATTTCTGAGGCTAGGCTGGGAAGCCAGAAGTCTTTCAGAACTATGCTGTGGACACAGGGCAAGTGGTGTCTCATGGTCTCACAAGAACAGGTCCATCTTGGTTCAAGAAAGAAAGAGGCTAAGGAGGTATCTGCAGTAACAAAAGGAATGTTTCCCCCACCTTCTGTTGCCTTCATCTAGGACAGAATGACTTTAGGCAGGTCCTCCACTCCAATCATCCTAAGCCTAACAGCTGCTTGTTTGCCAGGCCTAGCGGTAAAGGCCTGTAATTCTGGCCAGGGCTGGACAACTCGCTCAAACCCAGTCATAGAATAAAGTAGACTAAAATAAGGCCTGGGGACAGAGCTCAGTTGGCAGAGTGCTTGCCTACATTTTAGCTCTAGGCTCTAGGGTCATTCAATCAGTAGCACTGCAGACCAGCTCCCCCATTCTCCCTGCCTGAACCCTAGTTCCTCATATGTACGATCTGTCACCACAGGAGTCGATCCTTCCCAGTGTTCACTAGCTCCCAAGCTTCAACAAAAAACAGGGGGTGGTGTCTCAGTGCTGCCAATCCTACCCAAGCCCAAATCTGATCCTTCCTTGGTGGATTTACACAAGGTTTGTACATTTTCCCTTTATTAAAATGTCAGAGTTGAGGGCAGGCCTATTGAATACATGCTGGTCACAAAAACAATATACAAAAGAATAAATAAATAGGAACACAACAAACACTAATGCTTCCTTTAGAGTCAGTTAAGACTATACAGTGGAGCTGGGCAGTGGTGGCCCACACCTTTAACCCCAGCACTTGGAGGCAGAGGCAGGCGGATCTCTGTGAGTTCGAGACCAGCCTGGTCTACAAGAGCTAGTTCTAGGACAGGCACCAAAACTATAGAGAAATCCTGTCTTGAAAATCCAAAAAAAAGAAAAAAGGGGGGGGGGGGAGGCTAGACAGTGGCTTTTGGTAAACTACTCTCTATATGGTAGGTTTTTATTTTTTATTTCAAGAAAAATTATTTAATTTTTTTTTTTTCCTTGAGACAAAGTCTCTATGTAGCCTTGGCTGGCCTGGAACTTACTATGTAGAAAAGGCTGGTCTCAAACTCACAGAGATCTACCTGCCTCTGTCTCCCAAGTGCTGAGATTAAAGGCATGTACTACCTACCATGCCCAATAAAAACAACAAAAAATTTAGATTGTGTGTGTGCATGTCACAGTGCCCATATAGAAGTCGGAGGACAGTTTGTGGGGTTAGTTCTCTCTTTCCATCCTGGGTTTAAGGGACTGAATTCAGATGGCAGGCTTGGCAGCAAGTACCCTTACTGGCTGAGCCATTTGAAGGAATGCTAAATTAATGGAGATCAGGGGTCAAGGAAATCCAATCAGCTACTTAGCCAAGGAGAGACAGCAAAGATGTTTTATAGAGAATTCAGGATTTGGGGCTGGGGTACAGCTCAGTTGGGACACTTTTGGCCTCGTAGCACATAAACTGAGCATAGGGATGCATGTCTGAAATCCCAGCACTCAGGAGACAGGCAGGAGGGCCAGAACTTCAAGGCTGTACTTAGTTGCAGAGTAACTGAGAGAGGCCAGAGTGACTATACGGAATTTTTTGTTGTTGTTGTTCAAAGAGAACAAAGAATTTGAGTACCTTCTAGCTCAAGCATTTAGGAGCTGGGTAAGCCTTGGACTGGATGGCCTTCAAGTCTCATCTTCCTCTGCACAGCAGGAGCAGGCAGGGCCCACCTCTCTACCTTCTCCTGGATACTGTCAGTATCACTGACAATTGTTTTTAGAGATTGCCAAGAAACTAGTTCTGTTAGCCCACACACATTTTCTGGGTACATGAGCGGTGAGTGATGAGAAGGGAGGTCAGAAACCTCAGAAACTGCACTGACTGGAGCATCCACCCTTAGCCCAGTCTTCACACGTTACTCACACTTTCAGGCAGAGTGCCTAAAGGGTTAGCTGCCTACACTTGAGGTGAAATTGTAAACTTTAAACCCAAACAGCATCAAAGCAGCCAGTAGCATGGCTGGAAGCCAGTGTGGAAACCAGACGTGGGAAACACAGAACCCTGATGCACCCTGATTTCATTGGTGATTTCAGGCCTCCCAATTCCTTACTGTTATTTAAATTAGGGACTTTATTTATGTGAGTGTTTCGCCTTTATGTATGCAAGTGTGGTGCCTGCAGAAGACAGAAGAGGGAGTCAGATTTCCTGGAGCTGGTGCTATAGTTGTGAGCTGCCACGTGGGTGCTGGGAACTGAACCCAGATGCAGTGGAAGAGCAGCAAGTTTTCTTAACTACTGAGTCATCTCTTCGCCTTTTACTGTTGCCCCAACCCAAAGTAAAAGAACGACCTGAACATGCTGAGACTTAGAATTTTAAAGTCTCAAATATTTGAGGGCGAAGAGTTTCAAAGGAAAAATAAGTGGAGTTTCTGAAGTCTCTTAGTGGTCAATTTTCCTTGAACTTAACCAATCCTTTTTTAACAACTCCCTTTCCACTCAATCATTCCTCCCCCTTTGACCTAATCCAAGTATACAGAGTTGCAGGAAACCACCGTAAAAGTGGAAGTAATTCAAAAGACATCATCTTCTACATGGGAGGGGAGGAAGTTTGCCCTCTTGCCAGTCCCATATAGGAGATATACGAATGCATGACACAGCCGCGCCCTAAAAGAGGGCTGTGTCCTATAAATCAGATCCTAAGCACCAACCCCTTTTTGTACACAGGGAAATTGCTACGGGTCAGGGGCTGTGCCAGAGCAAATGCCCTCCTGTTCACTTGTCATAGGAGAGTTAACATTTCTGATTAATTCACACAGCCCTTATTTTATTCCCCATTTCTTTATTCTCGCTCTCTTGATCTGTTGCAGGGTGAAGATTTTTACTCAGCCTTCTACTGTAATCACCACCCGCACACCGCACCCCCTAAACCTAGTGAAATTGTTTAGCGATGCCAACCGCGCTTTTAATTTGCAAGACATCAGACACAGAGGTAATTTATAACAACATCTGTTCATTTTTGACTTCTGAAACAAACTCGCACATGCTGTTACAAAATCCCATTAGGAGTAAAGAGACAGCCTTCTGCTACTGTTTCGTATTCCTTACACACACACACAAACACACACACAGGCACAAACACACGCACACACACTTTCTTCTAGGAGGATTACACATGTAAATATATTTTGCTAATATATTCTCACTGAAGGATTTCAATTCTCTTGGGAAGAGCCTTCAGAGCTACTGCTTACTGGCAGGGGAAAGGAAGCTATCATCTCCTGCCTAGCTCCACCCCTCCCTTCCTTCTTCCCAGCAGTTATAATTTTTTTTTTTTCTGGATAAATGGCCAAGGTAAGATTGTATGTCCTTGAGCTTGGCACTTCTAGTTCCTCCACGTTCTCCAGGTTCTTCCCAGCGCCTACACTGTGTGTTAACAGGAAGCAGCGGCAGGGCTGGAAGGTGCACAGTCATGCCTGCCACGGAGCTCCAGGACCTGAGTTTGGTCCCCAGAACCCACTTAAAAAAAGCTGGGTGTGGTAGTGCATGCTTGTTAGCCCAGTGCAAGGGGTGGGGCCAGGTGGAGCCCTGGGGTTTGCAAGTCTTATCTATAGAGTTCCAGGCTAGTAGTGAGACTGTCTCAGGAAAGAAGGGAGACAGTGCCTGAGAAGGAACGCCTGAGGCTCCCCTCTAGCTTCCACATGCACGTATGTGTATGCACCCTCACACATGGGTCCTCAGCACACAAAAGAACAATTCTAAGAGCTAGGGATATAGCTCAATGGTAGCCTGCTTGCTTAGAAGGTTTGATACCTGGCAGCACAAGTATATAAGAAGAAGGGGAAAGGGAGAGGAGAAAAGGCCTAGAAAAAAAGAAGTAGCCAGACGGAGTTTTATCTAGTTGGTGAAATTTGCACTTTTGCTTTGGGGTCTGTTGTCTACAACTACCAGCTTGAAAGGGAAGGCAATATTACTACCTCTCTAATAACTATGCAAGAGTGGGCCCATTGGTCATT